TGCTAACAAAAGGAAATAAAAACTGCGTGAATATTTACAATAAAACAAAGTTACAAAGTGGCGAGCCGAGTGAAGACAAATTAAACTTAAGCGAGATAATTAAAGTGAACGCAAATCAGGCGAGGGCAGGAGGCAAGGCCCCGGTGGCTAGGCCCCGCGTTGTAAAGTTCCAACCTGGACATCGATTCCCATGCTCGCTGCTACTCAACTGACATCCCTACGAGAGAGAGAGGCTCTACCTTGGTAAACAACAACAACCACCATAACAACGACCACCACCACAACGATGAGAATTTCTCACCTCGGATTTCAGTGCAAGCGCGCACACGGCAGCTTCCTGTTACCTCGCGACAGCAGGAAGTAGTATGACGTCACTTCCCCCCACGAGCGGCTCTCTAACTGAATAAATTATATGCTTAGTTTTTTCGGTAAAGTCACGTTGAAGAGAAACAACAAAATAATAATAATATATATTTTATATTTATATTATAAGAATATGAATTACTGCAGTCACGCAAGCTTTAAATCAAAATTTGGTTAAATTATGTTAATGAGGCCGGCCCAAATGTCGAGGGATGGGGGCGTGGGCGCTGAACCCGTCGCAATAAACTCGCGACGGCTTTAACGGACACATTATGTTAATGAGCTACCAGTCACTGGGCGTAGCTTTGCCCAAATAAGGATTGCAACTGGAACGATATCGGCAGTGACCCAAGCGGAGGTGACGTCACGCTCAAGAGCGCGGTGGACGGGGGTGGGGTGAATACCTTGGTGACGTGAAATCACTAGCGAGGCTCACATGAAATTGACTTTTCCAAGACAGAGGTTCTTTGTAAGCCATCTGGCTACCATGAGAGATTCGTTCATGAGGCTATCCACATATACAAGCACAGAGACAATTTCAACCGAGAAGATGGATTCTGGCTTAGCAATCATTGGAACGATTTGATAAACCATTTCAGGTCTTAATTGATTATTCACGCTTACAGTGGCTTTCAGACAGCATACATTAATTTTTCGTCTCCCCCCTTCTCTTTTCAGAACATAGATGGACTAGTCCTTCTAAATAAACTGCCAAATCGCTGCGCGTGGCGCTAACGTTTTAAAAATAAATAAATACACCGTTAAAAAATAAATACATTTATGCAAACCGACACACCTGATGACGACCGTTTGTGTTATGGTCAAAACGTCATGAGAATTTTTATTGTTTTATATATATTTTATTATTTTATTGTTTCCCTTCAACGTGACTTTACCGAAAGAGCTAAGATTACGGAATATCATTTGGGTCATTTTTTTGTTACTCAAGATGAGATTTCTGATATTACTGCGTTTTTTAAAATATTTACATAACCAATAAAAATTTGTGTTTTTTTTTTATTCAGACCGCGCCAATGCCAACGCGAGTGTTTATTGTTGATGGTGAGTTTTGTAAATCCGTCGTACGGTAAAAAGAATAAAGTTTTCCCCGAAAAAAAATAAAAATCTCTCCGCCTTGGAGCCAATCAAGTTTCAGTTTCTCCCCTCCCACGTGACGCGGAGTTTTCTGGCTCCTCCCCCTCCTTGCTCGCCGCCATTTTGAGAGTCGTGAGGGAGGTGAAGCCTGCGGCCTTGACAACGACGAAGATTCACCAGGGTCAGTGACAACCTCACACTCACACACTGTGACAACCTCACACTCACACACACACACTGACAACCTCACACTCACACACTGTGACAACCTCACACTCACACACACTGTGACAACCTCACACACACTGACAACCTCACACTCACACACACTGTGACAACCTCACACTCACACACACACACTGACAACCTCACACTCACACACTGACAACCTCACACTCACACACTGACAACCTCACACTCACACACACTGACAACCTCACACTCACACACTGACAACCTCACACTCACACACTGACAACCTCACACTCACACACACTGACAACCTCACACTCACACACTGACAACCTCACACTCACACACACTGACAACCTCACACTCACACACACTGACAACCTCACACATTGACAACCTCACACTCACACACACTGACAACCTCACACTCACACATTGACAACCTCACACACACACACTGTGACAACCTCACACTCACACACACTGACAACCTCACACACACTGACAACCTCACACTCACACACACTGACAACCTCACACACACACACTGACAATCTCACACTCACACACTGACAACCTCACACTCACACACACTGTGACAACCTCACACTCACACACACACTGTGACAACCTCACACTCACACACACACTGTGACAACCTCACACTCACACACACACTGTGACAACCTCACACTCACACACACTGTGACAACCTCACACACACACACTGACAACCTCACACTCACACACTGACAACATCACACTCACACACACACACTGACAACCTCACACTCACACACACACTGACAACCTCACACTCACACACACACTGTGACAACCTCACACTCACACACTGACAACCTCACACTCACACACTGACAACCTCACACTCACACACACTGACAACCTCACACTCACACACACTGACAACCTCACACTCACACACTGACAACCTCACACTCACACACTGACAACCTCACACTCACACACACTGACAACCTCACACTCACACACTGACAACCTCACACTCACACACACTGACAACCTCACACTCACACACACTGACAACCTCACACATTGACAACCTCACACTCACACACACTGACAACCTCACACTCACACACACTGACAACCTCACACACACACACACTGTGACAACCTCACACTCACACACACTGACAACCTCACACACACTGACAACCTCACACTCACACACACTGACAACCTCACACACACACTGACAACCTCACACTCACACACTGTGACAACCTCACACTCACACACACTGTGACAACCTCACACACACTGACAACCTCACACTCACACACACTGTGACAACCTCACACTCACACACACACACTGACAACCTCACACACACTGTGACAACCTCACACACACACACTGACAACCTCACACTCACACACACTGACAACCTCACACTCACACACACTGACAACCTCACACTCACACACTGACAACCTCACACTCACACACTGACAACCTCACACTCACACACACTGACAACCTCACACTCACACACTGACAACCTCACACTCACACACACTGACAACCTCACACTCACACACACTGACAACCTCACACTCACACATTGACAACCTCACACTCACACACACTGACAACCTCACACTCACACATTGACAACCTCACACACACACACACTGTGACAACCTCACACTCACACACACTGACAACCTCACACACACTGACAACCTCACACTCACACACACTGACAACCTCACACACACACACTGACAATCTCACACTCACACACTGACAACCTCACACTCACACACACTGTGACAACCTCACACTCACACACACACTGTGACAACCTCACACTCACACACACACTGTGACAACCTCACACTCACACACACACTGTGACAACCTCACACTCACACACACTGTGACAACCTCACACACACACACTGACAACCTCACACTCACACACTGACAACATCACACTCACACACACACACTGACAACCTCACACTCACACACACACTGACAACCTCACACTCACACACACACTGTGACAACCTCACACACACACTGACAACCTCACACTCACACACACACTGACAACCTCACACTCACACACACACTGACAACCTCACACTCACACACACTGTGACAACCTCACACACACTGACAACCTCACACTCACACACACTGACAACCTCACACACACACACTGACAACCTCACACACACACACTGACAACCTCACACTCACACACACACTGACAACCTCACACACACACACACTGACAACCTCACACACACACACTGACAACCTCACACACACTGACAACCTCACACACACACACTGACAACCTCACACTCACACACTGACAACCTCACACTCTCACACACACACTGACAACCTCACACTCACACACACTGACAACCTCACACACACACAGGCTGACAACCTCACACTCACACAGACTGACAATCTTACACACACACTGACAATCTCACACTCACACATTCTGACAATCTCACACACACACAGGCTGACAATCTCACACTCACACACACACTGGCAATCTCACACTCACACACAGACTGACAATCTCACACACAGACTGACAATCTCACACACACACACTGACAATCTCACACTCACACAGGCTGACAATCTCACACACACACTGACAATCTCACACTCACACAGGCTGACAATCTCACACACACACTGACAATCTCACACTCACACAGGCTGACAATCTCACACACACACACTGACAATCTCACACTCACACACACACTGACAACCTCACACTCACACACTGACAATCTCACACTCACACACACTGACAATCTCTCACTCAAACACAGACTTACAATCTCACACTCACACCCTGCCCCAACACAATTAAGGCTGCACACGAGCAGGGCCGGATTAAGATTGTGTATGGCCCTGTGCTACACTTCACGTGGCCTTCACGTGGCCTCAAGGTGCACATGGCCTGGCACAAGCGTCGTGGTGACGTCACCACCACGTAGTGGCGAATGGCATTTGTTGTTGTTGTTGTTACTACAGGTACTTTGAGGCCCCCAGTAATATTCCCAAAAGGAAAACAAAGTTAAAGAACAATACAATTTATTTTTACAAGGCTAACGAGAAAATAAATTCAGCATTCACAACTGAAAAAAACTTTTTCTCTTAATCTCTGGAGGCCCTCCAGCTGGCGGAGGCCTCTGGGCTGCAGTTCCTAAAGCCCCCACGCCTCAATCCGGCCCTGCACACGGTCGATGCTTGTCTCTGTAGTGTGCGTGTGATTTTGTGTGTAACGTGTAAGGTTTATCTGCAGAGTCGATCGCATGGAGAAGTCCTCGACAGAGCCCGGTGCTAAAAGGCACCAATGCGACCGGTGTACCTACAGCACGGATCACGCTGAACACATGAAGCATCATCAGAGAACACACACGGGCGAAAAGCCATTCCGGTGCACCGTGTGTGAGAAGGCATTTGCTTGTTTAACAAATCTAAAAATTCACCAGAGAACACACACGGGCGAAAAGCCATTCAGGTGCACCGTGTGTGAGAAGGCATTTGCTTGTTTAACAAATCTAAAAATTCACCAGAGAACACACACGGGCGAAAAGCCATTCAAGTGCACCGTGTGTGAGAAGGCATTTGTGCATTCATCATATATTCGAATTCACCAGAGAATGCACACGGGTGAGAAGCCCTACAAGTGCACTCTGTGCATGAAGGCATTTACTCGTTTAGAAATTCTTCAACATCATCAGAGTACACATACAGGCGAGAAGCTGTACAAGTGCACCGTGTGTGAGAAGGCATTTCCCTATTCAAACTCTCTTCGGATTCACCAGAGAACACACACGGGCGAGAAGCCCTACAAGTGCAGTGTGTGTGGGAAAGCATTTTCCTATTCAAACTATCTTCGGATTCACCAGAGAACACACACAGGCGACAAGCCCTACAAGTGCACCGTGTGTGGGAAAGGGTTTATCGCGTCAGGACAACGAACGATGCATGAAAAGATCCACGAGAGGGTGAAATCTACTTGTGAAGGCCAAAGTGCCGCTGCCATGAGTCCATCTCTCATAAAACAAGAACCGGAAGAAAATGACAACTTTGCTACGTGGCCAGGAGTGATGGTGGAGTGTGAAGAAGAGATAACGGTGAAGCGTGAAGGTCAGGGTTCGACTCGAGGTGGTGACCTCCTGGTGGATGGAGTCAGCGTCAAGCGGGAAGAGGAGAACTGAGACTGTCGCTTGTGATTGCCCGGTCGCTTCTGAACACATTCTCCTGCGGAGGGAGCTAGTAGGAACGTTGGGTTGCCCCGTCAATGGCCAGGGTCAACGGCGGCACCACCACGTGGTGTATTCCGCAAATATGCCCGACTGTGAGGGCTGGCACAAGCCGGCGTGAGTAGGTTAAACGTTGAGTTTTATAAGGGCACCACGGGGTGACCAGCCCCTCACCACCCAGCCCCACCCAGCCCCTCCCCTCTCCACCCAGCCCCACCCCTCTCATTTTTGGATGCACGACGGACAGACAGACACAATAATCCCCTGTGGGCTGGTGGTGTAACCAGGAAGTTCCTACCAGTAAAAGGCGTCGTGTAGCTCAGTCGGCATTACTGGGAAAAATAACCATTTGTCTAATCTTGATTTGAAGCTTTCGTGATTTCTTTGTCTATTAAACTGGAAAAGGACTTTGGCCACATTCCAGGGAACCATTTGTGCTACGTTTTTTTTGTTTGGGGGGGGATGTTATAGATTGCGTAAATATATACCCGGTGCGGGTTGTAAACATCGCCCCCTAGGGAGACAAAGGCGGTCAGCCGTGGTGCTGGCTACCCACCCCCTTCAGTGCCATTCGGGGCTTCAGATGTGTTGCTCGCTAGTGTATAATGTAACATAGACTCACAAAGAGACCCAGAGACTCATCACACAGATACCCATAGACTAATCACACATACCCATAGACTATTTAGAGACCCATAGACTCACACAGAGCCATAGACTCATCATACAGAGACCCATAGACTCATCACACAGATACCCATAGACTAATCACACATACCCATAGACTCATCACACAGAGACCCATAGACTCATCACACAGAGACCCATAGACTCATCACACAGAGACCCATTGACTCATCATACAGAGACCCATAGACTCACCACGCAGAGACCCATAGACTCATCACACAGAGATCCATAGACTCATCACACAGAGACCCATAGACTCATCACACAGATACCCAGACTCACCACAGAGACAGTCGACTGATCACACAGAGACCCATTGTAATAAAATAATTGCATTGTGAAAATTCTAAATTTTTCTGAAATGTTAATTGTGTAATGTAATGAACGATGTGTTAAAGTGTCATTACAAACGTGTGTGTTGTGTGTATCATTGTGATTGATATTCTTGTTTAATATGTATGTATATTATTATTTGCGGTTATGCATAAAGTTTATCACGACTTATTATCTTTCAGTTTACCTTGTGTTATGAGGTGTGGTTCAGAGGATGAGGATGGGAGAAAATCTGGGTCACGTGACCTTGATGGTTGAGGACCAGAAGTTTCATCCTCTTCCTCGTCTAGTGAGAATGATTCTGGTGCATCAGGAATCGGCAGTCCTTCTCCGTGGGGTCCTGGGCGTGTAGCTGATGGAATGTTTGGATAATGCCCAGTCCACTTTTAATTCTTTGACAAACCTTTCCTAACTGGAGGCGCCATGCAGAAGTAACAATTTCCGATATGATCTGTTGGCTCTCTCCAAATCATTGGCACTGCAAAAGGCATAGATTTCCTGTTCAACCACTGGTGAAGATTCGTTGCACAAGTGTTGCAGCATATGTGTGGAGTCCACATATTGTCCTGATCTCCAATTTCTGATCTCCAATTTTGCAGACCCAGGTGCCACGGATTGACTGACTGAGATGACTGGCTGATGCA